GACCATAGGTTTTAAACTTAGGTGGAGTTTCTGAGCTTTAGTTTCCCACCTATCAATAGGAATAATAGTAATGTACCTATGTTACTTTGGTCACAGCTTTTATGTGAACCTCAAATGAGACAAGCGAAAGCATCTTGCAGAGCCAGTGTTACATACTACCTAAGAAGACAGACTCTGGAGCCCGGTGGTTAAATCCCCCCTGCCATGCACTTGTTGGATGACCTGGGGCAAGTTACTTAACTACTCTGTACCTCAGTTTCTTCATCTACAAATTAAGGATCATACTAGGACCTTCATCATAGATAGGGTTGCTGAGGATTGAAATGGGTTAAATGGGAAGTACTCAGAAAAGCACCCAAGGCATATTTACACTGCACAGTGGAAATTGAGCCATCATTGTCATTGCTGTGAAGCAGCATACAGGGTGACTATGATTATGATGATCACTTCCTAGATACCAAAGCAGAGAAGTCTGTTGTGTCTATATGGACAGGAAATGAGAAACATTGAGTTCTGCCCTGAGCTCCTAGTCGAAGCTTTAAAAAAGTGCTATAAAAATGCCATTTAAGTGACAAAGGTCTAGAGAGAGGGAGGCGTGCCTCTCAGCCATCCTGAAAAACATCAGCTCCACCCTGCCTTATCTTTTTGGCTTGCTTGTGGCCAATAGTCCACACTTGGCGTGGTCTTATCACATGCAGAGCTCTGTCCTGGATGTCCCTGCACTGAGGGGCTCTGGCCAGATGGCACACCTGCCAGGGGCAGGTGTGGATGGTGTTAATTGGCCTGAAATGGGGAATCAACTAGGAGAAGGTAAGACAGGCCAGGTTGACCACATATGTGGGCATCTGTGTCTTTCCCATGGAATAGTCAGGAGTCAGATTCCAAGTCAGAAGGTAAGACTGCAAATCTCTGAGATGGAATGAGATTCTTTCTTCTTCTTATTCATCCCCAGTATATCATACTATCTTGCCTTCCGTTCACCTGAACTACTTCAGTGATGTTCAGTGCTCAGTGGGGATTTCTTCTTCTCACACTCACATTGTGGGCAGGTGTTGATTTCAGTGTCCTTAGTTAAGAAGACTGAGGCACAGAGAAGTCTGCTGACTACACAGAAGTCATCAGGCTTCATCTCTGAAGGAAGGAGCATTCTAAGTGGTATCTCTCATTTTCCAGTCTAGTGTTGTTTCTTCTCCAAAGATACCAACTCATCACCTGCTAAAGCAGGCAGAGCATCCTCAGAGTAAAGAGATGCACTGAGCACTCTGCCAAGTTCCGGAGCTTGGGAGGGTTAGGGAAGTGGTCATAATGGGGATAACAATGTTTCATTTGCTCTGCTAGTTTCTCCCAAATGAAACAAATATTTTATTGGGGTCAAGCCTTATCTCCACTGCTTGTTTTATTCTAAGTATAAGAAAATGGGAGGAAAGGTGGTTTCAAAGCTTGCATCATGAGCCCAGAGTCAAAAAAGAAAGTTGGCTGTTAAGGTGCAGAATCTACACTGTAGACAGCATCTGTTTGCTCTCCCTCTGGTGGAATGAATTCACTTCTGTTTAGCGTTTACTCTGTCTTAGCTTGAGGAATTCTGGGCACATTCAGACATAGAGAAGACAGTGGCGCATCAAAATGGATGTATCAGTCTGAGGAATCAATTTGTGGGTGTAACAGTCCTAAAGGATAGGTGGTTACGTATAGACTTCTTTGAAGCCCTGTAAAGTTGAAAACTGGATTAATCATAGAAATGTAATACAATCATATTTTTGTAGATTTATTGCACTCCGTTCTCCCACCTTACACACCTTGACCTCATTCTAGCTGCCTTGAACTAAATAACCAAATTTGTTTTTGGCAAGTGTACTTCTTTTAAAGTTGTGCTGCCATCTTCTGGAAAACGTTGGAATAGCAATACATTTGTTAGGGATTAAGGAAGGGGACCGAAATTTCCAGGGAGCAGACACTTAGAGGTGGTGCTCCTGAAAGTGATGTGGTTGTACCAGTTCAGAGTGCCTTGGCCTGGTCAGATCTATTTCCCAATGCTCCTACTATTTCCCTGATTTTTCAGGAATGACTTCTAACCTTCCCTAACCTTCTCCAAGCTCTGGTTCAGACTCCGCCTGGACCAGCTAAACAACAATGACAACTGCAACCAAAAAAATAGCTGGGAGTTGTGGTGGATGCCTGTAGTCCCAGCTACTCAGGAGGCTGAGGCAAGAGAATCGCTTAAGCCCAAGAGTTGGAGGTTGCTGCGAGCTGTGATGCCACAGCACTCTACTGAGGGCAACATAATGAGACTTTGACTCAAAAAATAAATAAATAAATAAATAAACTTGGTTCGAGGAACAGGTTATTTTTTTGCAGGTTAATAATTGTTATTACTAATGATCTTCATCATCTAATGTCAATCTGAGACAGTTGATCAAACATTTTGGCAACTTCTGTTTAGATTATCGCACAGTTTCTAGGCATCTTGGCTTTGCCTCTAGTTTCCTGTGGGGGAATGAATATTGCCTAGTGAGGATGAGGGACTTAGGGTGGAGCCCCTCACAAAGAACACAGAGAATATGTTTATGTTGTTCCCAAGGGCAGTGTTCCAGAATGAATAGCAATTCCCATCAATAGGGGCTAGTACTGAGCATGAGGGCCACATTTTTCTCTCTGCTCTGTTCCCTACACTGGATTTCCTGTTAGAAAACAAAGTTAAGGCAGCATCCATAGCTCAGTGGGTAGGGCGCCTGCCACATACACCTAGGCTGATGAGTTGGAACCCAGCCCGGCCCAGCTAAACAACAATGACAACTGCAACAACAACAAAAATAGCCAGGCGTTGTAGTCCCAGCTACTTGGAAGGCTGAGGCAAGAGAATGGCTTAAGCCCGAGGTTGCTGTGAGCTGTGACGCCCCATACTCTACAGAGGGCGACATAGTAAGACTCTGTCTCAAAAAAAAAAAAAAAAAAAGCAAAGAAAGCAAAGTTAAATACAGATAGGAATCCTACTTCCTTACTGTTGTCAGTTTTTATTTTATTTTATTTTTTTGAGACAATATCTCACTTTATTGCCTGGGATAGAGGGCAAAGGCATCATCATAGCTCACTGCAACCTTAAATTCCAGGGCTGAAGTGATCCTCATTCCTCAGCCTCCCGAGTAGCTGAGACTACAGTTGTGTGCCACCATGCTCAGCTAATTTTTCTTTCTTTCTTTTTTTTTTTTTTTTAGAAACAGGGTCTCACTATGTTACTCAAGCAGGTTTCAAACTCTGGCCTCAAGTGATCCTCCCAGCTCAGCCTCCCAAAGTGCTGGCACTTTTTTTTTGAGACAGTCTCATTCTGTTGCCCCAGGCTATAGTGCCATGACATCAGTCTAGCTCACAGCAACCTCAAACTCCTGGGCTCAAGTATCCTGCCTCAGCTTCCCAAGTACCTGGGACTACAGGTGCCCATGACAACACCCAGATTATTGTTCTATTTTTAGTAGAGATGGGGTTTTGCTCTTACTCAAGCTGGTCTCAGACTCCTGAGCTCAATGGATCCTTTGGCTTTGGCTTCACAGAGTGCTAGGATTACAGGTGTAACCCACTGTGCCTGGCCTTCTCTTCTCTATTTTTAAGAATTTATTTATTACTGTCTGACATACTATTTTATATTTTACTTGTTTATTTTTATTGTCTCTTTCCTTTCACTGTGATGTAAGCTCATGAAGGTGGACATTTTTGTCTCTATTGGTCAGTGTGGGATCCCCCACATCTAGAACAGTGCCTGTCAACTGGAAGGTAGTCAAAAGTATTTGTGGAATAATGAGTCCTGGCTTTATTTTGACATGACTACAAGTTCCATACTTCTCTTTCCTTAGAGCCTGATGGACTTGATGCTTCTGCCTCAGCTTTCAATGAAGACTTTCTGCAGAGAGCTCAAAGCTCAGAAGATAAGTGATCTATGACGGAAAGGGATGGATGCTGTGAGGAAGTGCTTACTCTGTGCTTGGCTTGCTTAATCCAATCTCTAGGGGAACAAATGATTCTAGGGAAGCTTTGGAGAGAGTTCAGAAGGTGGAGAACTGGTGACGAAACTAAAGCTAAGTGAACCTATTATAAACACGGGAGGCTTGGCAAAGCCTGGGTGAAGCACTGAATCTAGTAAGTGTGATTTATGTATCTGTTTAAGATCATGTAGTAATTATCGCTGCTACAGTTCATTGAATACCTACTCTGGTCCTAGTACTTTATTACAAATTGCATTACACACTGTATGGCTTTGTTTTTCACAGTATCCTTATTTTCTATGAAACAATGAAGGCTCAAGGAATTTATGTAACTGTCTTGCGGGATGACTCTGCAGTCCCTGAATGGAAAGCACAGACTTAGTTCTGTCCCTGCAGAAGAGAATAGTGACTAAATAAATGTCTTTCAGATAAAAGAGCTTTAGCAAATTATTTAAATAAGCTCCAGTTTCCTCATCTGTAAAATGAGGATATCAGCTGTCCTTAACTTACCAGAGCTGAGGGAAGACTTACGTAAGACTGCTTGCAGCGCCAGGCCTTTTAGCACAGAATAACTGTGAGCAAGGCCTGAGAAGGCAGTACACATTCGGGAAAAGCTGCGAGCTTTGACGCTTCCCTTCAGTGGCTTTCCTAGACTACTCTCCTGACGTCCTGATTGCCAACCCTGCAGAAACTCAGAAGGAGGAGCGTGCAGCTAATTCCGCCTCCATTACTGGAATTTCTCCCATCCAGCCTCCGCCGGGGCCGGTTAGTGAGAGGACCTCCTCATCTCACAACAGTTTTGGTTTTATTAACGGCTCACCTTCACCGCTACCCCATACTAAAGCAGATGGGCCAGTTTGTCTTCTCCCAGAGGACAGAGACTTCAGGGACGCCACATGCTGGGAGTTGTAGTCCGAGACTGCACGCCTGCTTCTGAAGGCGGCTGAGTCGAAAGCTGTCGAACTACAACTCCCAAAGTGCTTCGCGTTCCCGGAAAGCCGCTCGTCCGCAGGGGGTTGTGGGCGCTCCAAAGATGACGGCGCCCGGTGCTTGGTGCTCGCGGTGAGGGGCTCGGTTCACAATGACTAGGGTGTAGCTAAAGTGGTTCCGGCATGTGCTGTGGGCCAGAGAAGCTAGGGCCAGGTATTCCAGGGATGTGATAAGTCTGCGACCCTTGGTTCCCCAGGTGCCATGCGAGCCCAACCTTTCTTTGCTCTACATATGGCCCTTTAGGTGTCCTTCTCCGGCAATCGAGCTCGATAAGGGTTTTGGGCGAGGATATGAGCGCTCTCCCTCTACTCCCGGGACAACTCGGCATGTCCTAGAGCCTGTGGACTGGCGGTCTGGCTGGCGTGTGAAGAGACAGGTCCTGAGCCCCGACCCGCCATGAAGAGCGACTCCTCGACGTCTGCAGCTCCCCTCAGAGGGATCGGGGGGCCCCTTCGCAGCAGCGAGCCGGTGCGCGCCGCCCCGACCCGGGCGCCCGCGGTGGACCTGCTGGAGGAGGCGGCCGACTTCTTGGTGGTGCACCGGGACTTCGGCGCGGCGCTGCAGACCTGCGAACGCGCCTGGCAGGGCCTGGCCGCTGACTGTCCGGCCGAGCAGCCCCCGGGCGTGTACGTGCTCGGCGCGGTTCATTTCAGGGTGCTCTGGGAGGGAGGGGCTCCATATTCCAGGATTTTCGTTATTCCCAGATTGCTCACGAGGAACCTACCACCTCGCTTTCATTCGAGGTTTTTTTCTGAGAGACCGGTTCCTCATCTTGTGCCCATTCCACAAAGGAGGAAACTGAGGCACGGTGCAATGAAGTGGTCAAATTGCGTGACGAAGCTTTGTGGGAACCCACATGCTGGGAGATTGAATGTAACGTAAATTAAATTCTTTTCTTTCTTTCTTTTTTTTTTGAGACAGAGTCTCACTTTGTCGCCCTGGGTGGAGTGCCGTGTCGTCACAGCTCACAGCAACCTTCAGCTCTTGAGCTTTGGGGATTCTCTTGCCTCAGCCTCCCAAGTAGCTGAGACTACAGGCGCCCACCAAAACGCCCGGCTATTTTTTTGGTTGCAGTTGTCATTGTTGTTCAGCAGGCCTGGGCTGGGTTCCAACCCCCAGCCTGGGTGTATGTGGCCGGCACCCTGCCAAATAAGCTACGGGTGCTGCCTAAATTCTCTTTACAGGCAGGTTCAGAAAGCAGGTGGCGGGGGCGGGTGGTTTGCTTGAGCTCAGGAGTTCAAGACCAGCTTGAGCAAGAGTGAAACCCCCATCTCTACTAAAAATGGAAAAACTAGCCGGGCCTCATGGGGGGTGCCTATAGTCCCAGCTAGTTGGGAAGCTGAGGCAAGAGGATCGCTTGAACCCAAGCTGACGCCACGGCACTCTACCCAGGGCTACAGAGTGAGACTCTGTCTCAAAAAAAAAAAAAAAAAAAATGGGGCAGGTGGCGAAGTCCTGTCCTAAGTGGTACCTGCCCCCAAGTTGTTCACGCTGACCTTGGCTGATGATGGGCAGTGGGGCTTATGGCAGGAGTAGTGTTCTGGTCCTGTTGTAGAAGTAGGTTAAAAAATTAACCCAGTCTTGGAAAACTGAGGCAAGAGAATTGCTTAAGCCCAGGAGTTGGAGGTTACTGTGAGCTGTGATACCCTGGCACTCTATCAAGGGCGACATAGTGACTCTCTGTTTCAAAAAAAAAAAAAAATCAGCCTTAAATGAATATA